CTTTATGATAAGCTAAGCTAAGCAGCTGCTGACTCTACCTTCATATTTACTGCATAGACATGACAGTGGTCTGTCTGTCTGTTTTCTCACCTGCAAGAAAGGGAATATGCATATGTCACAAAATGCTGATCACGCGGCATTGTGCTTTTAAATCTGCTAACAAAACAACGAAAACTGTTAGCGAGATAGAGATTTACTCCACTTCTCCATTAAACCACCAAATCACAAATGTAAAAACTTCAAAATGTTTAGATGACAGTTTGCCTGCGATTGTGACATCAATAATAGACTGTAAATGCTAAGGAGTGCTTGGTTTGCAGCACTAATGGGCAGTGGAAGCATTGCTGGACTTTGTAAGTACCCTGATTTCCCCTGAATATATCTGTAAGAGAATTAGTTAGAGTTAGAAAATGAAATTTTACACTTGAACTGCTGCTCAAAAGGGTGCTACATGCCCATGCACCAGGGACTGAAACTTCCTCTGGCTCTAAACTTCTGCAGCACGGCCTTTATGTCTATTCCACGCTGCGACTTCACCTCTGAGATCCATGAAGTCTTGTTCTGCAGCCACAAAATTTTATATCAGCCTGGAATCTCAGCGGTGAAACACTGTGCCAAAAGCTCCATTTCATGTATTACAGGCAGCCCTTCAGGGAATACTCCTGTGTGATTAATTTCCATTTCAAAGCTAAAAGCTCATGGAATGATGTCAGGGAGTGGGGGTTTGAAGTGGTGCACATTCAAATGGGAACAAAAATAAAATAAATAAAAACACACAAGGAGACAATATCACGCGGTGGCACACAACAAAAACACGCACTTGAAAAACTCGAATGCTCACATACTGTGGGTACTCACTGAATGCACATAAGCCTCCTCTCTTCTGCCCTTGCACATACACAAACGCACTCTTTCAAAGTAGCTCAGGGTCACAGTTTTGATCTCTTGGCTTGTTACCTCATTTGACTATCATATGAAAGCAGGGTTTCTGACTGTATATAACACACTGCTCGGTATTCTCTCCTCTTATCTTTATCATACCACCTACCCAATGCCGCCACCTGCAGCCCCCCCCACCCTCACTTCCACCAGCCCCTCTAAATCCTGTAGGCTCTAATTGGCCCAGTGTCCTTCACAACAGAGAGCGGTGCTGAGAGCTGGACGACGCGTGCTAGAAGGCTAATAGAGACATCTCGAAATGCCAGGTCACTGACTGGGCCGCTAACTCTCCTCCCAGCCTTGTCATGCTGCTTACAGTTAACCTTTTCATTAGACGGCATTTGTCGACAACAGGGATTTTCTAGTCATACGTGGGGTCCGTCAAAGGAAGTACAATGGGGCAGGACATGAGAGGGTGTGTGAATGTGCGTGATATGTGTATTTCAGTACAGACACGACAGCAGAAATGTCTATCTGAACAAATAATTAGTTTGAAAATTCCGTAACAATGAATTATTTTTTAACAGTTAGTATGATTTGGCAAGACAGTGGGTGGCCTTTATTGTGACAAAGGAGCTGTTCAAGAAGTGTTTGCTGCACAAAAGTCCTTCTACTTGTTCATTTAGAGCTAACATAGATTTTTCTTCTCTTGAAAGAGTTGGTTTATACACAGGACAACATATTTTCTAACTTAGCCCTAGTCTTATTCTAGTCACGCATGTAGGCTGGTTAAATTTGCCCAAGTCTGGAACATCCATCTCTAAAATTTCTGGTTCCACTTGATAGAATTTAATTGTAATGCATAAAAGGCATCAATTCTTGGTTAGGTTTAGGAAAAGATAATGGTTAGGGTTAAAATACAACCTGGTATCAACTGTGTACTTCTCCCTCTTAGGCAAGGAAAACTAACTTGGAGCAACTGCATGGAGAGTGAGTATTTTTGGAGCAATGGCGTTTGTTTTTTGGGATTACGGGCTGTCGGACAAATTGGCTTTTGGCACAATGGGACATTTTTCAGAATATCAGGGTTTCGGAATAATTGGCCTTTGGAACAATGGCATGGCAACACATTCACTGGGAACAGTTGTAACAATATTGGAACTGAACTTTCTACTAAAGCAAAAAAGAAAGTCCCTATGAGAACTGTTGTTAGTGAGCTCTGTAGACATCCTCAGTAACAAGGATATTTTGTTATTGTTATCATTCTGGAAAAATATATTGCTGATACATTTTTCAATGCTGTGAGCACCACAACTACTGGGGTGGAAAACGAAATCTCAGACTGACATCTCAAAACCTGGACAAATAAAACCTATTTGCATGGCTAGACAGCACTAAACTGGGATCCGTTTCTGATGATGTTGTTTCCATAGGTGTTCAGCTTGATAACCTTCCTCCACCTTATTTTTTGAATGCCCTGGTGATGAGTGACAGCAGTGAAAAAACCCATTCTTAAGGATCAAGCATTTCTTCTTCACTGCTAAAACTCAAAAGATTATTTGTTGCCTATATCTTTGTAACAACATCTGGGAGACGGTGATCACGCCACTGCACAAATACATGGCAGCTCAGTTACTTTATGTTAATTTTGAAGCAACACCTTTCCCACTTGGCTGTCTGTCAAGATACATATTCTGTTTATTTCATTCATTTAAAAAAAAAAAAAAAAAAATATAATCCTCTTTTCTTTGGGAAGTCTCTTGCATTTGCTGTACTCCCATTTCATCTGAAAATCTGATCATAATCAACCTGTCTGTGTGAATGAAGGGGAAATATAATAAATAAAAAATGGTGCTTGTTGCTTGTATTGAACAGTATTCAGCAACAGTAGCTATCTAGTTCTACCAGTAATGTCTCCATTGTTTCATACACATTGTGTATTAACAGACTGAGGAGTCCTCTATTGAGGATTACGATTGATTATTCTACTAAGGAGGGGCTGAGCTCTCTACTCTTGCTTTGATTGACCTTCACTGTCTGAAGATCAGCTGATAATCTAGAAAATGAAATGTGGCTGAGGTACACTGGCAGTGTATCGTTCTGCTCTTTTCGTAGAAACTTCGACCTTTTCCACATGGCCAATAATTAAGTGAAGATCAACTACTTGGTGAGTTTGTTTGGTAACAACTCACACGGTATGACCTGTCACTCAGCCGGGCCAGATATTCTATCAATCCAGTTTCAATGTGATTCTGATGCTTCTATACAACCTACGTAAACAAACAAGACCATCAGTGAGAAGATTGGCTATTTCTATGTAGTTCATCTCAGGGCCGTAACGCCTCCCACCAGGTCAAATTTGGTGCGATTCCCCTCAAAATCAGACAAAAGGAGGCGGTAGAAACACCACAGCTTTTGTCCACAGGGGGTGCCAGCATCAACACAAGAAGTTCCATGTAGCTGCTTTATCTAGCTAGCAGCACCATTGGCTCTAATTTTGAATTTGTACAATACTTTTTTGATGAATTACTAGCAAAACTAATGACATTCCCATTAGCCTCAGCTGTATTTTGTGTTTAGTGTTTATTAACTATGTTAGCATTATAACATGCTAAACTAAGATAGTGCACATACTATACCCACTGAACATTAGCATGCTAGTATTGCTCTTGTGAGCATGTTAGCATGCTAACGTTAACTTCTTTGTCTAAGTTCAGTCTCAGAGATACAGCCTGGCTGTTTGGCTCTGATGAATTCCATGAATTATCAATAATGTGCTGAATGATGTGCTAAAAAAAGTCTCATCACAGACTAATGAAATCAGCCATACTTATAAGCAAGAGTACGCAATGTCTGCTGTAGTTTGTTTATGGTTTGTTTTAATTTAGTCATTAAAAAATATTCTGGATGAGTTCCATACGTCAGTGTTTTCAAACTAAAACAACACTTTGTCCTTCTCTTCTTCCACCTTTTCCAAAAAGACCTGAATGCAGCATGAGCCAAAACAATGACACACCACTATTGGAAAACATCAACTTGTCATTCAGCCAAATGCTGCATTCAAAGCTGTAATAACCTGAAGCTGTTTTCTATGCAGCCTGGCTTCTCCTGAACATTTATTTTTTTCCACACCAAGCATCGCAGTTTCAACCAAAACTAAAAACATCCAAGTCAACAAAAAAGACTAACTGCATGTGATGGAAAGGATTTATGTGTTTGTTTTATTTGAAATGTAATTCTACTTGTTGTTTACTTCAATAAACTGGAGATCATGTATTTTGTATACCACCTGAAACCTGAAGAGAGAGAAGAGCAACATTCTCAAGATACAAACTTGTGTGGGTTTTACCATAAGTCTGAATGCATCATAACCTGAAGCAAGGAGAGCTTCCTCCTACCAGCCAATTAGAGGGCACTGCTGGATGGTCAACCAGCTTCAGGCAGTCTGTGTGCCTGGCTGTCAGGTTTTCACCTGAATTTGGAGTAAACAGACCTCTGTTTTCTGTGATGAGTGTGAGCCAAAAGATGGAGGTCACCCAAATGGAAAGAGAGGCTAACACGGACATTCAATTGGAGTTTCCATCGGCTGTGCTCCACTGCTATTACTGCCTCCACTCATATTTCAGCGCAAAGTAATCGCTTTATCACTGATGGAGCAATGTCTGAACTGTGCATATATATTGTATATGATAAAGAATGCATAGCTATTTACATTATTAAACAGCCACATAAAGCATTCATGAATATAATTTAAGTGATAGCTTGGCAGTGAAAAGGTCCTTTTATTGTTCTGTGTGTTGATGTGTGATTGCACAGTTGTAGTAACTGGGCTTAAATGGGTGTTTACCAGTTCAGCCTCAGGGTTCTTGCTGCTTTTGAAGAGATTGAAAGTACCTCATAAATTTGTATAATGTCCAAGCTCTGTTGTATTATTAACAGGTACAGAAAATATGTAGATTTTTTTTTTCTTCTTTTCTTTTGTTTCCATTTTGTTTGTTAATTCTATCAAATATGGAGACAGGGTATGCAACAACTTTGTGTCTTAAATCCTAATCGCCATAAACAATTAGGATTTAAACTCCTAAAACAAATGAACTTAGGTCTGATGTTGAAAGTCTTACTTGATTTCACTCTCCTGAACCCGCTCCTCATCCAGATCCTCAATGAACTTATCCCCCTTCATCCAGTAGATAAGTGGACTGACGTCCCCGCTGTATCCAAAGAAGGCTCTGCACGTCAGGTTGACAGGGGTTCCTGTGGGAGACAAGAGACAGGATAGTAGTATATCACTGCATCTGCAATGAGATCAACAATTCATCTTTTACACAACAGGCGGTGTGCATTTGTGCATTTGAGTATCTGGACTCTTCTAATCGTGATCAGCAACATAAAAAACGCAGCAGGGGGAACCATGAAACAATCATGGCTACAGATTAACAATGCCAACATCAAAGCCATTCTTTATGTTGCATTAAAGGGATTCTAAAGGCCAACACACACCAGAAGCGTATGATGCACCCATTGTTTTGTTAGCCTACACACCAGGGTCGTGTTGACCCGTGATGACGTGCGTTAATGCATTAACATACAGTGTTGTTGTATTTCCAAGAGTCAACGCCTGGGAAAACCAGCAATTTTCTCACATTGGCTAACTACCGTCTGCTGTACCTTGACTACTAATGACTGTATAAGTCGCTGAACATGTCCTACAAGCAATCGACTGATGTCAATTAAATGACACAATGCTCTGAGACATGCTGAGTGTTGCACTTAAATCTGATTTACTCTGGATAGAATGTTACCTTGAGGTTTTTGCACTACCATCATAATTCACCATCTTAAACATGGTAAGAAAACAGACAAAATTTACACAACCAACGCCACTTGTTTCCCCACATTATTCCAGCAGCGTCTGATCAGCATTCATTGGACTACAAGTGTTGGTTGAAACTGGCTATTTTTCCACTGTGCCCTGAGGTGGTGGATATCTGGTCATATCTGATACTGCATCACTGAGTACTAGCCCTGACTGCAATTTTTACCCTTCAAAACCACCATAACAGCCTCCTTGATTCCACCAATTCCTAAAACTGTCTCTCACTCTCCAGAGGTATCATCTTAAACCATCCCAGACCCTTTTTCAATTCCCTGACGGCCTCTTAAACTTTAAAACACTCTCTTGAACCCTCTATCACTGCAACTTCACAGTACTCCTGTACCTTCACAAAGGCTCTTATGCTCTTCAGTGGCCCCCTTCTCTACTTTTGATTTTCAATCACTGTATTCTGCAGGAAGTACTTTGGAAATTTTTAAACACAAGTGTGTGGCACAGCTTTTAAGGACAGTGATTTGCACTATTAATTAATTAAAATCCCCTATGCAAAACCCTCAATTCACACAGATTTCTCCCTTTTCTATAAACACAACGCAGGAGATCAAATTGCACATTATCAACTCAATTGTACTTGTGTACCTCTACTAGTATTCTTGTGATGATGAAGGGGTGCAGTTTGCTCTTGTGGGTCCACTGAACTAGACAGTGATTGAGTCACCCTTCATTCCACAAACTACACAGATGGTATACACATAGCTTTCAGTGTGTGGGATAAGAAAATAAGAGGAGGAGGGCAATACTTCAGTGCAGTGGTTTGATTGAACCCTGATTTAATTTTAGCAAGTCCACTTTTTTTCCAATGCCGTTCAAGAGCTGTGACAAAGTGCAAGTACAGTAGGGTGAACATATCATATTGATGAGGTTGATTCTTTTAGATGCCACAGACAAAATTAAAAATAAAAGATGAGTGAGAGAGAGAAAAAAAACCTCTGTAAAACATGTCAAGTGAATACAAGTTTTAAAGTGCAAAGTGGGGCACTTTCATATAACCTCCCATTAGGAGTAGATGGAGATAAAATTATACCAGATACAAGCATGCATGTAAAGAACCTGATCTTTTAAAGCTGCATTAATGGGGGTTTTCAGGGGCGGCGGAATAAGCCCCTTATGAAGTGAATGTGTTAGCAAACAGTTGACTGATAACACATCCAGTGGACACAGAGCAATATTAACATTCATTTGGTCCAATATTCACTCCTTTTAGCTCATGGTCCCTACCAACGCCAATGGAAATAAGTTGTTCTTTAGCAGATAAATGCTACACTATGTTCACTGGCTAGTCACTAACTTACAGACTAACCCTGTCTGCCATTTGGTCCTGGATGGGTCGCGTACAGCCGTATTAGTAGTTTTTTTTGCTGAAAACAGCTGCCTGCTGTGGCTGGAAAACTAATCCAAAAGACTGAAGTTACAGGCTGTAAAACCAAAACAATGAGCTGAAAGGTTCAAAAAACATTTCTAAAATAAATTCATCACTACGAGGGAACCCTTTCATGTTACATGTAGTAATTTGATCCAATGCTAATGTTAAATTATTGATTAGTGTTTAAAGCTTTAAAGTTTAAATAAAATCCTAAAATCTTGTCAGCACAGTTGATTGTCAGTTGTCAGAAAATGTTTAGTTTAGTGTCCTTGGCAGCATTTATAAAGTATTTGCTGAAGTTGAGGCAGTTGAAACAAAAGCACAGAAAGAAATTCCTGTTCGCAAATGCAAGAATTATAGAGGACTGATAAAATGGAAGGGAAAGAGAAGAATCAGCTATCAAGACATTTAAGGCAATTTTCTGTACTAGCAGGCAGTGTGATGCACTGATAGGCTTCCTGGGATGGCAAGAACCATGAGAACAGAGGGGTAAAAACACATATCAACAGACAAACCCCCTGCCTTCACATCAGCAGGAGTTCTCCTCTTTGCTCGGTTCATTTTGAACACACATCCTATGTGACTGGAGACAGATAAAACCCTTTTAAACCCGTTTTCGCTTTCTGTCGTGGATTAGAGACCTCTCATTCTTATCACACACATGCTGCAGCCGACGGCACATCCATGAGTGTGTGGCCTGTGCCGCTACAGGCTCACCAGGGGTATAAAAAAAAAAGGACCACATGATCAAAGCCTGGGAATGACTCTGATCCATAAAAAAAGCAGCCGATGATCAAGTAGGCTCCGGCAATTGTGCGTCAAGGAAGTCAAAAAGGTGATTCAGCATCTCTTCATTAGCACTCCTTGCTCATTGGCCCTGTGGCGAGGACTCAGAAGTCTGTGAGATGGGAGATAACTGTGGCGTATAATTGGGTACTTGCATTTTCAAACATAATAGGGATTTTATTTTACCAAGGCCTGCTCTAATTTGGCCCTCTAGTGCAAGTCTAGCGAGCTCAGATGATAGCTAAAATGTTAACAGGGAAAATCTGGTTTGGAGATTTAAAAAAAAAAAAAGCCCCGAGTTGGAGGACGGTTTTGCATGAACAAAAATATTGTCCACATCTGGGAGACAAGGGCTGTGTGTGTGTGTGTGTGTGTGTGAGTGTGAGTGTGAGAGAGAGAGAGAGAGAGGTTGTGTGTGTGTGTGTGTGTGTGTGTGTGTGTGTGTGTGTATATGTGTGTGTGTGAGGGAGTCAGAGAGAAAGTGTTTTGGGAATGCTGGGATCTGTCTTGGACCACACACACATATTCACACATATACTCACACATTGCTATACTTCCCGGCTCCACCAGGGGTCTCTGTGGTGCTACAAAGCAGGAGGGCCGGTGTGCAGGAGGAGCACATTAAACAACAAAAAAAATACTAAAAACAAAACACACCATTTTGACAGGTGCAGACAACAGTAAAAGGAAACACGGATCCTTTTGTGTGCCACCTTTGATGTCAAGAGGCTTCACCCATGGATCCGAACAGCATGTTGTGTTGTAGCATTGACAGCTCCACTGCTGTGCCGACAACAGCCGCGGTGTCACTCTCCAAGACTTATTCCAAGGGGCTCTTCATGCATATGTCTGCATGTTCTTCCCTTAACGATGGCGTGTTAATTTGTGCCAGCTTTACTGTGAGCAGCTAAGCCTGCACGGGCAGACGCTGTGTGTGCTCAGTTTGGGAAATGCACCAACAGCCGTGCAGGGATTTAAGTGCAGAGATTCTAACATTCAAATCCCAACCTCTGGGTCTTGGTCAGGGGGGTAAAGTGAGTCTTAATGCGATTGTCTCCTCTCTCTTATCTCCCTCCGCCTCTAGAGCATCTCTCTCAGTAGCTGTGGCTGCAGGACGGAGACGTCAGCAAAGATTCCCGTGGCTAAGCAGACAGACTGGAAGCTATGAAATCATGAAACGCCAGGGTGGAGAGGAAAAAACAGGGAAAGAGACATGGAGAAGGAGAGAGAGAGGGCAGGCATGTGTGAATTTTTGTGAGGTATATGCTAGCATGAGAGACAGAGGGCATATGTGCATGTCAGTGTGGATGTGAGTGAGAAAAAACAAGAGATAGACAGAGGAATCACACACATGGGAGAGAACAAACCACTCTTCGTGGAGAATTTAAAGACTTCCCACACAGAGTGAACAGAGCATCGTATCGCCCTCGTGCACTAAAGATACATAGATTACCGATCAGTACATCCGTATGCAGTGCGTGCACCATCCATGTCGAGTTAATCTACCAGCATTTCCCATTCAGATCCAAACAAGCCAGCTCTTGAGTAGGGAAGCCTTTCTTTTCTTTTCTCTCTCTCTCTCTTTTTTTTTTTTTTTTTTTGCTTTTAACAGCCTTGAATAAATTAAGCCCTGCAGCTAGCAGGAATAATACTTCAGAGGGAAGAGACAAAGCTTTTCAGAGTTTTTTTTGGAAAGGGCATTTGCAATCGTAACAGCAATGAGGACACAAATAGCTTTCTGTTTAATGTTTTTGGTGAGATGGGAAGCAATGGAGCTGGCAATTAATGACAAATAATGCGGCACGAGAACAGCACACTTTTCAAATTATCGGTAATCTGCAAGCAAGTTTGAGTTCTCCGCAAGTTGGCTTTTACGCTATATTTTTATTAATGGATGCCGATGACTGCCTGGAAGATTGTTTAAGACGAACACATACAGATCTAAAAACACTGTTAAGAGTTAATTCTTGAAGCTGACAAACACAATCTTACCACTACCTCCATTTAGTACCTGTTTTGAAGCTTTCCATCATATCAAATGAGAAGAATTTTAAGTGCTCAGAAAAATGGAAATTTGAATCTACAATTCCATGACAACCGGGCAAAACCCATCTGCTGGGGAAAGATTGTGTGAAAGGATCAAAAGCTCCAGAACAACTAAATGGACTTTATGCTGATGCTTTTTCTGTCAAATAAAAAAACTACTTTAAC